TACACATAGTAAATCCCATAAAAGAATGTAGCACACATCTTTGAGAAACTTCGCCTTGTGTAAATTGTGCAAATGTGTCTACCCAGAATTATGTTACAATTATTTTATAATTGGACTGAAACATAATCACCAGCTGCATTACACCTAATGACTGTTTTGTTTACTATAAACAAAGAGCAATATTCATAATCACACAAGAGTCAGTGGAAGCGTACTGGAGTGTATTGAAGACACACAAATTAGATAATTGTTATATTGAAAAAAAACGTGTAACCTCAAAAAAGTATTTAACCCCATTTAAACCCCATAAGGTTTTCATATTTTAACACACTATAAAATTCTGATACTCCTAAGTAAAAATCAAGGGCAACCAATTCCCTTAGCCTAATTGGTTCACTTATTAATAATTTAATTTCAATATAAATCCAGCTGCTCTGCCAAGGCCTCAGAAGTAGAATAAAATCCAAGGAGCACACCCAACAGATCAGAAATAAACTTGTGGAGAGGTTTAAAGCTGAGTTACGGTGTAACCTAGTAAACCAAACTTTTCACAGAACTCTGTTCAGTAAATCATACTACAATCATAGGAGAACTGTAAACAGATACTAAAAAATACATTGCTAAAAGGCCAGACAAGTAAGCATTTATTTATTATTATTTTTTTTTTAGAGAAACAGACAAGAGGCTCATCTTTTTAGGAGATGCAGAGATTCACAGTTTCAGAGATCCACAGTCTAAAAACCTGAGCTTTATGGAACACTGTTAAGAAGACAGTCTCCCTTTTATGACCTTTGTTCAATTATTGAACGAAGGCCATAAAAAGTCCTGTTTGCAGTGAGACATGTTGGGGTTACAGAAAGCATGTGGAAGAAGATGACATAGTCAGATGAACAAAGTAGACTTTTGGTCTGCAGACTTCCTTAGAAAGGATGAGGAAAGAAGTAAGGAGGAAGAGAGATCTGCCAACTGGAACAGTAATAATTATTTTTAACCCTCTTTCAGTGTTTTATGATGCTCTTAGTTTGAAGTGTGTGGCTTATTATGAGTGGTTTTGCATCAAAGGCACTTTAGGAAGTTGTCATCATCTTGATAAAAATAAACACCATGACTCAGTTATGTTTTCTAATGATGAACTGCTTGCTGGACAAAGAGAAAAAAATTATCAAGTAAAAGTTTTACAGTTGAGAAAGGCATCATGTTTTGACATCATAATGTAAAAAAATAAATAAATAAATAAAAATCCCTAAAACTTTTCAGTGTATTCAAAGTCCACAAAGGAATATTTCTGCATCATCTTTTAGTTGTGAAACTTTTGTGATGTGAGACCTTGGGTATTTTTTTTTCTTTTCAGAATATAAACTACCTAGAGGACAGTCGGATTCAGTGACAGACAGTCCTCCTGGAAAAGTGATATTTTTTCTGATCACTGCTGTCTCTTAATTTGTGAATATAATGAAGTTATCCTTGTAAGTTGAGTTATTCAGTGACTCTTAATTACAATGAAAAGGTGAACTATTTTATCTGTTCATATCTATCTGTTTCAGATCTATGTTATGTTCCACTGGACATAAATGACAATGATAGATTATTGAAATTAAAGCAATTTTTGGGTTAGTGAATGTCTAAAACCAGGAACATGGTGTATGTCCACATTTGGCTGAAATTGGCAACAATACAAATCCACCTCTTAAAGTAAATTGTTTCCTGGAAGAAGGTAAAAATGCCAATCTTTCACAATGAATTATTATATCTGGCTTAACTGCCATGGCAGGCAGATTGTACATGGTGTTATGAGATTATTAGATTCCCCTTGCCATCGTTTCGTTACAGGAAAAGAAATGGCACTCCTGCACTGGCTGCTTTCCAACCAATAATGGCATTGTGCCTATGCATTTCATCTGCCCAAACTGCATTTTCTTTTGACTATTTCAGATGTGCTATATGAAAAAAATCTGCATATAGGCACATTTTTATACAGAAAAATCGGTGAATATTAGTGCGGTCTCAATTTAGAATGTCAATTTACTATGTAAAAATGAAAGCGACAGCTAAGTGCAATGTTGAAATTGCATCTGTTGCTCATTAGGCCAGTATTGCAGTATATGAACCAATTTGCTATAAGTTGTGGTTTTTCATCACCCACATGCTGCTGTCATCTGAATGGGAAGTTTGTCCAGAATAGGAAATCTGATTAAGTAAGAAGCTTCAGTTCTCAAGCTTTTTGCTTGTGCTGTGACGTGGCTTGGGACAGACAACTCTATCATTCACTTTTGGAGACTCACAAGCTTCCTTCTTGTCAGATTATCCAACTGTAGGACATCCTTCATCCAGGCTTTCAGATTTTTGTTGACCTGCTGATAAGTCCAGACCCGTGTGGAAACGACAAGTGTTAAAGCAGCGATCAGCTGATTGTTGCAGCATCCGAGGATGTTGCTGATATTGTTCGGGGCTCCTGTTTCGTCCCAGAGAGACTGTGTGTGACTGTGAAAGGCACTCAGGATGAGTAAGGTAGAGGGCTATTTGTGGTTTGTTCTTCTGCCCAGAATGGATGCTTGAGTGAAGGAGCTCTGTTGCATCAGTTGTAAACATGCAACTTGGCTCTTCCTGAGTAACCGAGTAGGGAAGGGAGAAAAGGAAGAAAAGGAAAGAAGGAAGAGGAGGGATGGAAGAAAGTTAGAAATAATCCCAGTACAAGGTGTATGCACCCCACCTCCACAGACAAAGCTGAACAGGATATTATAAGAGGCGGTATCAGCGGTCTATCCAGGAACAGATGGTGAGACAGAGCTATACACAGACAGGATCTTCCTTCCAGTCCAGAACTGAAAGAGAAAAGGATCCGCATCTACATTCATAGACACACAAAGAAACAGTGTTGGACTTATAAAGGTCTTTATGAGGAAGCATCAACGATTTGAAAACCTCCATGGCTGTCATTGGCCCCCCCCCCCCCCATCTCTTCATTTCCTCTTTCCTGTTAGGTTTTCTCTCCTTTTTATTTCTCTGTTTCTGCACCAAGCCTCACCATCTTCCAGGGCTCCACTTTATCCACAGCCTGATACCAAAGTGACAGGGTTACACATTTAAATACCAACAAAAATCTTTTGGATTTTAGAGCCAAAACGTTTATGTTGGACTGGTAAAATATTTACCCAGATAGTGAAAAAGAAATGTCTTTAAAAAAAGGTAATCTCAAAAGGCTCTTAGGGACTGTTTAACATACGACAAATGTTTAATTTACAGTCAATTAGATTTAAAATTTGCTTGATGTACATGAAAGCTCCTGCAGTGTGTCAGCCTGGGGTGGAGTTGGTGTCAGCTGGTGTCAAGGTTGCATGCGGAGTTGTAGTCGTGCAGACCTGTAATTAATAGGATAGTTGAAGTCTGCAGGGTGAACTGCTGCAGGCCACCATTATACATATACACTGACCACAAATTTAAATACACCACTCACACAGTATCTCACAGGTAACAAAAACCTTTCTGAACATTTCCCATATTCAGTTTTTTTTTATCTACCTACTCCCAGTAGTGTACAATGTCAAAATAAAAAGAAACACAATGGAAAAAAAAAACACTGATGTTGTCTCATCTAGGACAGGGTTACAAAAGCACCAGAAAAAAAAAACTGTTTCTAAAATAGAATAAAAATATATTATTTCCAATACTTTGGAAATTTGCATGTAACAGTAGAAAAGTGACAGGACATTGAGGTACACAAAGAGAAAAGTAATAAAAATACCAAAAAAGCAAAATTATAAATAATATAATGTAATGATGCAATGTTACAACAAAATTCTGTGCAGTTACCTGAAATGGCATAATCCAAGAAATGTCCAACTCAGTAGAATAATGTTTTAAGAATGTACAAAAGGTGAATCTGTGTTTCTGGGTTAATGCAGCAAGCCGTTTAAAATATGAAAAATAAAAATTGGAAAATCAACAGGGATGTGCAGCAGAAATGTCATTTAAAATCAGTAAAACCAAAAATAACAGTCCAATACCAGCAGCAATGAAAACAATTATTAGAATAGTGATAGCAGTGATAGTTACAGAGTTTAATAACTGCTGAGAGGAAGGATCTCCGATATGCTCCTTTGTGGACTTAGGATGCAACAGTCTGTCGCTAGCTCCATTAATTGCGGAATTTAAAGTAGAGAAATAAATTAGTTTAATGGAAACACACCAATTTAGAAAAAAAAACTAAATCTTTTTCAGTCAATTAATTGATTGATTAGAATAGGTTCTTGTGTTTACTAATGATTCAATCATTAACTCATATTGTTAATATTTTGATCTTTTCTCTCTCTTAAAAAATCAACATACTGTGTCTTTAATAAAGTTGGAACTGAATTGTTGCTGATCAGCTCCAACACATTGTCATTGTGAAGAACGCACACTACAGCTCGGAAAACTATATCTGAAACAAACAAACAAAAAAAAAAAAAACATGAAAAGATTTCTTAGGTTAAATGTCATGTTTTATTATTTTGTCCCTTTCTTATTGATCCTCCCCAACTATTTAAGATGCTTGTTTTTTTTGCTTAAGGTTTTGTTGGCTCTGGTGGCCTTTATTTGAAAGTAGTTTGACAGGAAAGACATGCGGCAAATGTCACCAGGCCAGGAATTGAACCTGCAACCACTGGCATGAGGACTAAGACATCAATACATGAGTTGTGCTTTGCCCCTGCGCCACCAAAGCACCCATCTATTTAAGATGTTAAAACATAAAACAAACCTAAAGTCTGATTCAGAAGCTATTATTTTAGTGATCAATTTCTCCATTTCAGTATTTGGCTGACATCAACCCTTGGAGCTGAAGCTTTATAGCCTCCATTGGGGTTTCCCCCCACCCCTCCTTCCCTTTTGATGAGAAGAGAGGGATGTGTCGCCATACAGGGATGCTCGCCTTGGACTGAGTCAGCCGTAGCCTTTACCTGGCCACCTTGCTGCTGCTGTGTCCTTCTCATGGTAGTTGAGCAGCAGCTACAGATGCACAGCAGTGTCATTCTCCTGGGGCAGTGATGGCACAGAGGTGACTCACATTTAAAGAGCAGTCTAGACAGACCGTTGTACAGCCAGTGAATTATGTTAAGGCAGGTAACTCTCAACGTGAACATTTTGAGGTTTCTTTGCAGATTTCCTCCCTGGTTGGACACGATATTGCATTAACGATTGCACAATAGTTTTGTTATTTTATGTGTTACCATCAATAGTGTCATCTTTAGTTTTTATCTTCTGTAATTTGGTGACTGTAAAATTTTAACTGTAAAAGCAGCAGTAAAATATAGGGTGCTTTTAGAAGCTTGGTGAGACGTGCATTAACTCCCAATGCCCCCACCCCAACCCTCTGCCCCCATGTTTCCGCTTACAACCGAACGCCCACCACCTGCACACTTCCACTGATGACTTCAATTGCAATATTCTTGTTATCAGATACCTGTTCAGTGCACTCTCCACAGGGGGAATGAGGTGGTGAGATATGAATGTGTGTGCTTGTGTACAGGTTAGCATAATGGAGCGCCCCCATCCTTTTGCAAATTAGACTGTTTGCTGTTGCATATGTCTGTTTGCAGGGACGCACAACCGTTTGCGTGAGCCATTTGTATCAATGTCAAGCAGATATCTTCCCACCCCTGCCTTGCTTTTCTCTCTCTCTCTCTCTCTCTCTCTCTGGTTCATATTCTGTTTTTGTTTTTCCCTGTGTGAGTCTGAAGTCATAACACATTTAACTGTTTAAATTGTATTGATGGAAAGTGGCCAAGAATAGCAAGGGCAGAGCTGGGAGGAAGATGGAGGGCAGGCCTCTACTGAGAAGTCTGGAGAGCCAAAAGCAAGGCCTTCAAAGGGGATTTTAAAAGCACTTCCTTTATTCAGTAAACGATAATAGATAGAGATAGAGAGTAAGTTTGTTCATTTTGGTCAGTTGATGAGTTTTTAACTCGTAATTTTCATGGGTGGCTTGTTTGCTTTTCATACAGACAAAAGTTGAAACAAACTGAAATCTGTCACATAAACCTCAGGAGAATATTTGTGTATTGTTAGGATGTGTTGTACATAGAAGAAGCTGATTCTGGTTTTTAGCTAGAAGGAAAAAAAAACTGAATCATCTCTTTTAAGCAAGAATATCTGAGGAGTTCACAAAATGATTTTTAGAAGGTGTCTTGAAAGTTGCAAAGGGTTTTATGCTTCATTGCCATTGTTTATTTGATTTTTTGTTTCCTCTGCCACATTTGACAGTGTAACAGAAACCTAAATATGTCTGCAGCATACACTTGCAAACTGCAAAGACTTGGAAAACAACCATACCAAGATCACTGGTTTGGCAATTTCCAGTCTTGAATCATCTAACAGGACAATGTTTAATCCATAGTTTGAAAATGGAAAGAGTATAGCACAGCTGCTATCCACCTAAGCTTTGAGGTTTTTATTAAAAAGGTAGAAAAAGGATGAAAATTGTAAAATTGTTCAAAAGAGAGAGAGAGTGTGTGTGTGGAAAAAGACAAAGACAATATATTTTTTATCAGGAGGAGAAAATATAAGAGAAATTCTGCAACTAGTTTGTATGTTTGCTTGGATAATTTTATTGGTTGGCTTAAGGTCAGAAGTGAGAAAAAAGGAAACCAGGAATTTCAGTCAGCTTAGAGCCTGGCCTTTATTTATTAACACATGCTTTGAATATTTTTTGAAAAACCATCAAGAGACCATGTTGGTTATTTCACTGCTGCGTGAAAAGGGAATTAAATGAACAAACAAGAAAGTGAACCAGCACTTTATTTAAACTTAATAAAACTCGCACGAGAGTTTCTCTTTATTTATTACCAATTAGTCAAATTTTGTTTCAGTATTTTTTAGAAAACAGAATCATGCTACTGTTAAATTTAATTTTCTTAAAGATGTGTTGAAAATACTTAGATTTGTTTTATTTTTTATTTTACTGCTTGTCCATCCCTCAGTTTGTATCTTATTGCCTGTGTTGACCAATGAGTTTGCTTTATCCATTCCTTGCAATGTCCTACATTTCAATTTCACAGTGGGCCAGAATCTTAAAACGGGTAAAATCATTCAGTATACTCAGTTGGTCAGCTGATATAATTTCTTTTCTGTGCACTTAACCTGTCATGAAGTGTGGTTGTTGGTGGTGAGGAGAGACGCTGAGACCCAGGTTATGGTGATGATGGAGATTTAATGATAACAAAGCACACACACAGTCCTAGGCAGGCAGCACGGCAGGAACAAGCACGCAGCTAGATACCGGTAGCAACTGTCAAAACGGACTAGACGGAACAAACACAAACCAGGACTTAACAGTTCTACTGGCGAAACAAACAAACCAGGACTTTACAGTTCTACTGGCTAGTGAGAACAACACTGAGACGTTAGACAAACGACGACAAGGACCCGACGAGGAACACAGACAACAGGAGGGTTTAAATACACACGGGGTAATCAAGGGAATGAGACACACCTGGGGAGCAATCAACGGGGAGGACAGGACAGAGACTCACAGGAACACAGGACTGAACACAGAAAAACTCAAAATAAACAGAAAACCACGGATCATGACATAACCGTGCTGAACTCTGACCTAACCCTACGTAGCAACCTCAGGTTATTGATCACAGGTTTGTATCGGACAAAGCAAAGCAAGATGGATGCATCACTTCATGCATCTCCTTTCTTATCCTGGTCGATATGCCTGTCACTCTGGAACAGAATAAATCCTTTTAATTTTTAACCCAGTCTTCGTTATGTTCACCAGCTTCGTAGATGTTTTCTTTTGTTTCAAGTGTGCCAATAATTTGACCCTGCTTAAACTGTTTAATATCTTTTTCATGATCACAGTGTATGTCTTGGTAGTTGTGTCACAAATGAAACCACACTAAGTGGAACAGTTAGGGTAAATAATATTTTTCCGGCTAAAACATAATCATCCATGCAGTTATCCAGTGGAGGATATTCTGTACCTGTTTGCTTTGGTCCCAGACCCAGAAGTGCCTCCTTTAGAACAGACACTACATCTTATTCTAAGATTGTTTTAGCCTTTTATTTTTTAGGTCTTTATTCTCATTGGTAAATGATTTGCAATATTGTAAAGGTGATTTAATACTGCCAACATATATAATTCTGTATCCTTAAAGAGTCTCACATGTTTCATTTTTTTTTTTAAGCTATGTTGTTTGCAGTGGTGAATATTTTCATGGGTTCTGTTTTCTTATTTACCATGATGCAATACTGCAGATGTCGGTGTGCAACCTGTAGATCATTTGAACTCTTTGAAGAAGAAACGTGAACAGAACTAGGATGCAGAGAGGACGACGTGTCTCCTTGCTGTGCTACTTTAGGTTCCAAGCCACACAGGGGGGAAAATACAGTTTTAGTTTTTTTTTTTTTGCAATAATCTGCAGCCTCTAAATGCTTGTGTAATCTGGAAAGTATGTGACAGTTAGATGGATGACCATGCTTCTAAAAACACTTTAGACAATGAACAAAAATATACTTACAGTCTTACAAATGGGGTTGTAGCAGGATGAGTTAAATCACCTAACCATAAAATTATCAGTAAAATTATTTTACTCTATGAGTTTTGAAACATTACACAAGACTTTTCTTATCCAGCAATGTGATTTTAAAACAGCAAAACTTTCTCGTGATTTCATTCTGTATCTAGTTATAGGTAATAATTTTCATCATGTCACTTCTTTTTACTTACCCTCTCTTTATTTCTCAAAATCTCTCTGGGCTGTTGGGTGAGTCACCTTGCATGTCTCAGTGATGCTACACATCCACAGGCACACACACGACCAGCATGCTAAAATAAATTTGGTAAACAAGGCAGATATATTTATTGTGATGGAAACAAGTTTTAATAGGATGAAAGAAAACTATCCATGACAAATTAAAGTGTAGACATTTGTTAAACGTTTTTATGAACCTTTTTATTCAGGTGTTGGACAGTTTTACTCAACCTTTTTTTAACCCTTGGTTTAAAATATGCCATAAAGAATTAAGGCATGCTCACTTTTATTCAGCAAGTTGGTTTTTAGAGGAATTTTTAATGTTTGATTAGAAATCATGGGGTGAAATGATTATGATCATTATTGGACTTTTATTCCTTCCAAAGATGTATTCTTGTTGTGCTTGGGAGACAATCCTCCTGAACTCTCACTCTCACCAATCCAACTTCAACATGTTACAGTGCGCTAAAAACACAATTCAGGAGATCACCCTTTTCTTTTATAGTTAAAAATTGTCTTTACACCCGTCCATCCATTGTCCAGATTTGTTCAACACACTTTTAGCATCTTATGCTACTAGAAATTTATCTGCTCACTGAACACAACTGAAAATCTCACCGGATGTCTAGCTGACAGTTGCTAAGACAAGTTGGTGATGATATTCTCAGATTGAAATTCAAACTTCTAAAGCAAATAAATATCACAGCTACCTTTATTTTTAGGGTTTTATGGATTCTGTAAATATTTAGGGATTTTACTCTATTACTTTTCGCAAAATATTAAGCTTGGGTGTCACATATATGCAACCGCAGATACAAAAATTAGAATATCATGAAAAAAAAACATCGCTGACTGTGGAAGCCTTTTACTGGACGTCTACGAACACGGACTCTGTGCCTCTCCACTCTTCCTCTATACACAGGGACCTTGAATGAAATGCAAACTTTGCTTTCATCTGAAAAGTGTGTTTTGGACCCCTGAACAACAGACCAGTTCTTTTTCTTCTCAGTCCAAGTATCACACTTTTGATGTCTCTGATTCAGGAATGGCTCGACATGAGGAATTCAACATCTGTAGTCCATGTGCAGGATTTGTCTGTGCATGACGGCTCTTGATGCAGCCTCAGTCTACTCCTTGTGAAGCTTCTCCAAATCCTTAAATGGACTTTGCTCAATCTTCTCAAGGTTGCGGTTAACCTTTTTTTCCTGCTACTCTTTTTTCCTTACGCTGAACTTTCTATGAATACATTTAGATTTAGCATGCTGTGAACAAC